ACAAATCGCCAGAGCAAAAGGAACCACGTCCAGGCTGCAGCTGCCAAAAGCCCATCATTCCCCATTAAGCCCCGAGTGCAGAGGTGCATCAAAACTCTGCACAAACAGGCGGACACAAGAGCTAAGTCGGTGGCAGGTCAAGTAGACCAAAGTGTCTATGTGGAATTCAGTTTGAACTTCAGCCACGCGCAGGACTTCTTGGCGATGGAGGCGAAGATGGGCGAATAATGCGCCTATCAGCTGCCAAACATGGAGGGGAATATCCTGGTTTGACTCTCCAACGTAGAGCTCGCCGAGAAGCTCGTCTAAGAGGGTCTTGACATTGTAAAGGCCATGCAACAACAACAACAAAAAGCCTTTATTTAGGGTCACTGACCCTATACAGGATTCACCAGAGGTATGCATAAGAACAAAGCAGTGAGACAAAGGAAACAACAATATAAACAGAAGAAAAAAAGAAAGAGAAAGAGGGAAGCAAGAAAAAACAACACAAAAAGAGTAGCAGTAAGAAATTGAGGAGTGAGTGTCACTTGACCTTCTTCTGAGATATGGACTTGTGGAAACCATAAAACGCCGTAGCAATATACTTATTCTGGGTCATATTGTCAATTATTGATGGAAGTGAAGCACAGAGTTGCCCAGTTTTGAGCATAAGGGTTCTTCTTTCAGAGCAGAGCAATCAAAAATATAGTGGGTGATTTCATTTTTTAGTTTTGAATTACAGAAGGTATAAATCGGGTCCTCACCGCAGAGCATCTTGGTGTGGTTTTCTCTAAAAAAAACTTAAAAGTATTCTAACTTGTGCAAGTAGTCTCACAAGCGGGAAAGGAAAATCCCCTAAAAGGTATCCCTCCGTCATGAAAGATATGTGAATAAAGGCCATGCGCGTTTTTCCTCTGAGGAAGAATGCCGAGCGTCTCGCCTTGGATAACGTTCTGTCCTTCCATTAATTTATCAATGCAGTAAGGGCAGTATAAAATTAATAGAATTGAAAAGAATCCTTATACGCGTCAAAAATAGTTTACATTTTTATAACAGATGGCGCGCTAATGTATCATCTTCTGTTCTTTGTAAAGGACACTAACTTGATCGCTGCGGCCAAAGCCTGTTGACCTTCATCATTCAGCAAATTGTGAAACTGGGAAATTTCTGATGGGCTGATGTTCGTCGGGAAGCCTTCGTTATTCTGCTTCCAAATACATATCTTTAATAAAAGGCATCTCCTGATCGTGCAACTAAAATTTGCTGATGGCTTGCGCCATCTGTCCAAATACAAGGTATGCCCCATAAGTTCCCGGTCTGGGTCCACAAAAAATAAATAAATGAAAAATGTGAATAAATTTTACTGTTTATTATAGAAAAATATCTGGCAACACGGTGGTACCAATATCGAGGCTGTACGCGCGCGCGCGCGCCAAGGTCTTTCTAATTTATTTAAAGGTTACACCTAGCGCTGCGGCGATTTTACGATGGAACAAAAATTGAAGCAGAGGATTTGCATAGAATTTTGTTGGAAACTTCAAATATCAGCAACCGAAACTTTTGAAATGCCTAATAAAGCATTCCCCAATGACCCCCCAAAGAGAACAAAGGTTTTTGAATGGCATTCTAGATTTAAAGCTGGCAGAATTTCTATTGAAGATGATCCTCGTCAAGGACGCCCAAAATTTCAAAGGACTGATCAAAATGTGCAAAAAAATCACCGATTTGATAAAAGAAAATCCTCGAACCACTTTGCTGGAGCTAGAGCACGACACAGGCATCTCTAAAACAACGATTGGAAGGATCGCAACCAAAGATTTGATGCTCGAAAAGACTCCTGAAAAATTCATCCCAAGATTCCTCACTAATGAGCAAAAACTGTGTCGGCTTGCAACCTGTGAGGACATGTTGGAAATGACAAGAACGGATCCGGAATGGAAAGACAAGATAATCACAGGCGAAGAGACATGGGTCTATGGCTATGACCCTGAAACCAAGCGTCAATCTGCCGATTGGAGAGGTCAGGGTGAGCCTAGACCAAAAAAATCCAGGATATTTAAATCCAGAAACAAGGTGTTGCTAGTCGCTTTTTTGGATAACAAGGGCATTGTTCATCACGAGTATCTTCCTGCAGGCCAAAAAGTTATTAAGGAAATGTATTTGGGCATTCTTCGCCGTCTAAGGGAAGCGATTCGAAAAAAAGGCCAGAAAAATGGTCTAATGGTGACTGGATCCTACACCATAACAATGCCCGCCCTCATACAGCGCACTTGGTGACGAGTCTTTTTTTTTTTTTTGGCTAAAAACGGGACAGAAATCCTACCTCAACCACCCTATTCCCCAGACATCGCACCAAATGACTTTTTCTTGTTCCCCATATTTAAAGCATTTCTAAAAGGAAGACATTTTGACACCAGGGATGACATAATAGAAAAATCGCTGTTGGCATTCAAGAGCATTCCAAAAGAGCCTCATAAAAACTGTTTCGACAATTTGGAGAAACGATGGCGCTGGTGCGTTGAAGCAAGGGGGGATTACTTTGAAAAGTTTTAATAATTTAAAAATATATATATCTTACCTTTTTTTATGGACCCAGTCCGGGAACTTATGGGACATACCTTGTATATATCAATTGATCATTGATTTTTAATTATTTCATAATTAGGCAAATACCCATTCTTGATTAATAAAGAAAAGCTAACCACTAATGTATTTCGAACTGTTGGCTGTTTTCAGGATGCCTTAAAGAACTGTTATTTTTTGGTCATTGAGGTACAGCTTGCACCACGCTGACGGGAACCACCATAGAAAAGAAATCATTTCGAGAGTGATGATAGATCTTCGGGTGCTGTAGTGATTCCATATGCTGATTTGTTCTCTGTTTAAAGAATAAAAATTCCGTTAATATGTATATTTTGTATTAAAAAAAAATATGTATTAGGTGCGCGTAGGCTAAAGTTTCATTGTATTGTCTAAAAGGCTTATCCTTTGAGGTGTCTGAGATTTTTAGGCATTCAATAAGAAACACTACACATAGATTATAGTAAATATAAAAGAATATATTAAGATACTGTGCCTATTATCATAATCTTAGAAACCATGATGCTTACTCAACCTCTCTCTCTCTCTTCTATTTTTCCGTTGCATTAAGGGCAGTAGAAACTGTTTAATTTTTAAAGGAATCATAGCGTCTAAAATAATTTCGAATTTTCATAACAGATGGCACGCTAATGCATCTAAATGTAATTGTTCTAATAAAAGACTCAATTTGATGTATGCGTAAAAGCAATTCCTCGAAGCATATTATATATTTATAATTCTATCTATTTCTACTGTCCTAAAAGCTTATGTCCATAGTTAATCTAAATTACCCATTCCAAGAGTCTAGCATCAGTATCACTATAAAAGTAAAACCAAAAAATACGATATAACATCGGTATGGTAGATTAAACTGGCGAAACCGCTGGAAGGGTTCACCACTGATGTGCCAGGCCCTTACATTAATCTGTCCATTGCAGTAAGAGCAGTAGAAATTGTTTAATTTTTAAAAGAACACATACGCATCTATAATAGTTTTGAATCCTGGAAAAAAAATCTCCCTTTCCCACCCTAGACACCTCTCAGTTTATAAATTGGAACTCTCTGCAATAGATACTGCTCTCAAGGACATCAACATCAACTCGCCAAGCTAAATAATAATCTACTCTGACTCAAGAGCAGCCATTTTACCCTTCAAACCTACTTCAGAACCTCTTCTCAAGAGCATCACTAAGTCTGTAAACCGACTCCCAACCAACAGCTCTGCCACAGTGCATTGGCTTCCAGTTAACGTTTGAATTCCTGGAAATGAGCTAGCAGTATCTCTGGCAAAGTCTGGAGTTGTTGGCCTCCCTGAGGCCAAGGAATCTACCATCCAACTAGACGCCATCAAAACCCAATGCCTGAAGGAATGGAAATATAATGCTGCACATGACTGGTACAGAGCAGGATGGACAAGTACCTGTTCTGCCCTCCCAAGAGAACAACAGTCTTTTATTTCCAGACTTAAGTCTGGTAACCTACAGACAATGACTTTCCAGAATGGTTGTAAGGTTTTCCTATTATGTACTAAGTGCAATTCCCAACCTGCAACCCAAAAACACATCTTTGACGGTATTGACTTATCCATTGATGAGCTCTACTCACCCTCAGCAGACACCATCAAAATCTCAAGCTTTGCAAGCTTGATACCCTAATATGATTGAGTGGAGATAAGAAAGAAGAAGAAGGATAGTTTCGAATTTACACTTAAATATATGGTTTTGAAATTAGAGCAATCCATATTTAAATCATTAGATAATAAAAAGGCATATATTGGATTTTTAAAAGATTTAATTGCCAATATATGCCTTTTTATTATCTAATGACTTAAATATATGTGGTAATTTAAGAATCATAAGCACCTGTGTAAATAATCACCACCTCTTCTTACACCCCCTACTCCAATATGAACTTTTAATCATTGTACCCCATCCTCCTTTAATCAATTTAACTCTGTATGTATCGTTTTTGTGTGTTCAATTAAATACAGAGGTACATCTAGAGGGAAAGTAGAAACCAAAATTAACTTTCCCGCAGCTAATGAGGTCAATCGCCCCAACACGCGGAGCCAGACGTCCAATGACTAGGGCTTACCCGCAGCCAATGAGGTCAATCGCCCCAACACCGCGGCGCCAGACGTCCGATGACGTAACGCTTGAGCATAAAAAGGGCTTGCCCGCAACCAGTGAGTTAGTTCAGCAGACGCAAGATAGCAGACAGCAGTAGCAGACAGATCGTTAGTAAGTGGCCCGCCGGCAGCAACTTGGTCTCTGCGTTTCCTCCCTCTGATGCCTCAGATTCCCCTGTGATTCGTCTCTGTGTTCTTTACCACTCACCACCATCACGACTGCGCAATCATCATCTTTCCCCATGACTCGATACAACAGACCAGACTACCGAAATACCACATATATATACTAAAGTTTATATAATATAAAGTTTTTTTCAACTTAGCGCAACGGTTAACGCGTCTGATTATGGATTAGAAAATTACAGGTTCGAATCCTAGCATGCTTCTAAAAAATAATTGACAACTTTTTCAAACTGCATTTTTGTGACATAATTTTATGTTTTCTAAATTATTTTACATTTTGATTTTCTTCACAAATTTTCGTGACAGGTTTAAGCGATATAATTACTTAGTTGTTTACCGTTAGCAATCGTGAGAACGTATACCTTGCTAGAAAAACCTAAAATATAAAAAGTCTGTAATTCTCAGAATTAAAAAAAAAAAAGTTAAATGTAATATTTTTATGCAAACACACTATACTCAAAATTTCCCAAACTACACTGTAATATATTTATTTATATACAATAAGATAAATATTTTGCATCATAAATAATTGACTACAAAAATGTCTATCAAATTAATCATTAGAAAAGTCACTGAATAATATGGCTTGTTTATTCGGTGTTATAAATTCAGCAGAATGAAGTCGGCAACATTTAGAAATCTCAAAGGAGTAAAATTTTGCGTTTAATTTTAAATGTATTTTGTATATATAAATATTTGTTTTTGTTTATTATATAAATGAATTTTAGTTTTAGAATTTGAACATCTCGTTACTAAAGAAGGAGTTTCTACACATAGTAATGTTTGCTTTTAATTTTTAAAATTGGTAACATTTTTAACTCTTAGAAGGTCTTAGGTTTAACCTCTCCACTTTTAATTTTATTTTACACTATTATTTACATAGAAATTATATTTTTAAAACTATGTGTATTTACTTTTTCAAAGGGTTTTTTATGCATTTTTAAAAAGATGTCAAGAACCTTGATCATTTATAAGTTTTTCTTTTTGTTCATCAAATATATATATTTTTTAAAAGCACAGAAAAATATACCCCCAAAAGTAATATATTTCGAAATTGCACATCTGATCTTTCATCATTTGTTATTACTATAACTAGATTATTTTTATAATCATGGCAAAGTATCAAATGTGATTAAATAAAAAATAACCCAAGCAGGAATAAGCTAGCATATAAGTAACATCAACGTTATTCTATATTTTTTTGTAGTTATATTATATTTTTAATTATATAATAAAAAACTTGGGATAGATATTTATTTCATTTAAGTATTCATATACATTAACTCTCTTGAGAAAAAGGATTTAAAGATTCTTTGTAGACCATTTTACTTCAGCTTTTAAATAATCCTACTTTTTTATACTCGTAGCAATAAGAAAAAATATTTATTGACATTATAGTTGATAGTTTGCCCTCACTTTAAACTACATCTTAATGTATATTCCACATGATAATCTTGACTGATGATTATTTGAAGCATTTGTTTCATATTTAAGTAGATGAAATAATAATAAACAAAGGAAACAGTAATTTATAATACACCTATCCCCTGATTTACACGGTACTTGTTTTACATGTTTTGCTTTTACACGGTTTTCCAAATAAGTTTTTTTTTTTGTTTTTATCGCACTATACTAAATGCTACTGTGATTGAACACATGCGCTGTGTACACATCTCACGAGGAATCCCGAGCTTATGTGCTGACTACATATTTTAACCTGTCAATGCATTTTATTTTTATTTCTGTGTACACCTATCCTCCATTTACACGTTTTTCCCAGGAACGTATCTACCGTGTAAATCGGGGGATAGGTGTACAATATAATGCTGCTAATGATTGTAGAACGACATTTAAAAATATCCCGCATGTGTTTCTTTTGAACGAAAAATCAAATTCCCATCCCTGGACACTTTCATTTTTCTGTTTATCACTTCTCTTCACAATTCATCCTTTCATACTTCATTCCTAAGGTTAGAAATAATCGTTATTTCTCCTTAAAATAAATTTTGATTTTTCATTCAAAAGAAACACATGCGGGATATTTTCAAATGTCATTTTAAAAGGAAACTTTTTGCCATTACTTCACTTCAACTGGCTCATCAATCAATTAGAAACTAACATCATTGATAGGAGTTGGTAGAAAGAGGTTGTAGGATAAATTTTGTAAAGAAATTACTGAAAAATATCTTGGGGCTCTCTATCGCCAGAAAATTAGGACAAATTTTGGGAAAACTCTGAACTAGCTCCCTGATTTATTAAACCTAACCTAAACTAACTTCATAATAGACTTGTAAACACTTTATGCTAGATTAGGTTTAGTAAACCTGTGAGCTAGTTCTGAGAATTCTATATACAGTTACGAGCGTCATTCCTCATCTCTGTCACGGTTTGCTTTTTTTTTTTTGGAATGGCGCCCTCCTATTGGTTGGCTACGATCACACCACCTTTGCCCCCCCATCATGACCCCCCCACTCGCTTTTTTTTGGAATGGCGCTCTCCTATTGGTTCGCTACGATGGCGCCGCCAATGCGCGAGACACTTCTGTCACTGTTTGCTTTTGGTTCAGTGGTAGAATGCTCGCCTGCCATGCGGGCGCCCCGGGTTCGATTCCCGGCCGATGCATTTTTTTTTTTTTTATAATTTTTAAAACTCATTTATATATTATACAAGAATGACATCCAAGGCGCCAATTTATAATTGTAACGAATAGTATTTTAATAAAAGCATTTAATCTGGTAAAACCCGGGCGTTGCCCGGGTCTCATTCGGCTAGTTTAAAGATAAATCACAGAGTGCCAATCACATTGTCAACATGGCTGTTCTGCAATGACAAAGTATAGTTGAGAAAAAAAAAAAGGCAAATCATGCGTAACACTTTGTGGGCAACATCAATAGTTGTACCACCTTGTTGTAACACTTTTAAGCACCGTGCACAAACTATGGCCGTAATTCCGCTGCATGACTTGGTGTTGCATTTTTGTCATTAAAATTGTATTTTAACAAAGAATTATCTAATGTTGTTGTCAAAATTTGATGGTGTCATTTATCAATGATATAAAATTATCCTTGTTTGAATGGTTATTTGACAGGTTGGAGTCATGAAAACATGGTCGAATTATCTCAAGTGTTGGTTGAATTAACGAGGTTATATATACTAGAAATGTTTGGTATGCCTCCATACTATTTGATTATACGGAAAGTAAGTCATAGTTTAGCTGCTGTACAAGAATAGGTAACTTTTAGCCTTATTTTGAGGTTAAAAAATGATGGTGATAACATATTAATGAATATGTATATAAATAATACTAAAAAAATTATAATTAACATTTTTGTTTAAAACTACATTCATGGGGATGTCTTGGGATTAGTGTTATGTAAAATTTTGGCACTATTTGATTTGCTAAGATCTCAAAAGGATCATCCCCTGAATAAAGTTGACCACAATGGTGGGTATGATTCATTTATAATATTTGATTGTATTTCGTGCTATGAATCGAATGACAGAGGTATATGCTCAGGGCTAGCTTAACCCACAAATTGATAAGATTTCTTCAGTAGAACTTATTTGAGCAAACCCTCCTGCTCACAGACATCTCTATACATAGGTCATTGCCAATTTTACCAATGTTAAGCAGACACTCTGCAACTAGGTGTTGTCCTTTAGAGAAAGAGGTTCTTCTGTACCATGCACATATAGATGATTATGTTTTTGATAATGATTACAGTTTTCTATTTTGATAAATATATATATTTTTAAACCTAAAATATATGAAATTTAGGTAATATAGAAACAATATGTTGACATTTGGGAATAACTTTACATCCTTCCTCAATATGTGGTTGCCATACAGAGGTTGGACTTATTTCTCACCAGTTCTTCTCATAGCTTCTAATTCTAGGCCCTATTCTTCCTTGGGGTATCTCCCTTCATTCTGCAAGGTATACAATACCTACTCTGTGGGAGAGATAGTCCATTGTTGGTGGAGTCTTTCCAGCACTGGAAGACTTTGATGAAAACATCACAAATGTTTTTTACACCTAAAGCAAACTTGTACTGCGATCACAGTAAGGACATAAGAATTTCCAGTATATAGATGACGTGTTATAGATTATTTTATGGCCATGTAATTGTTGTTTGTGAAAGAGCCTTGCTCGATGCAAATTTATATGTAATTCTACTCTCCTTAAAGCTTATGTCCATAGTTTACTTGAATACCATTTCTAAGATTCCGCACTTCAGCGCAGCGTATATAAGCAGAATCGTCCAATACAGTATTAGAGCTCAGAGCTCATTATATGAAGATTCGAGGATTTTATTGCCTTCAATTTAATAGGTAAACAATTTGAAATTAGCCTTAATTCTTTTTTTTTTTTTTCAAATATACAGGAAAACCCCTCTATATAGCGAATCCCAATGAGACTGAACCTGTTGTTCACTCTAGCCTATAGAAGTGTGTGTGTGTTGATTATTTCAGGTTCATTATAAGAAAAGGTTTGTTATAGCGGGGTTTTACTGGATTTCTTTCATACTAGTGTGCTTGTAAGCCTTTGAAACAGAAAATTTATCCCATGCTTTTTTTTTTTTTTTTCATTAAAAATATTTCTTGCCCATAATGCAAATACAATGAATCGTCGCATAAGTTCCGGTTTAATCAAAAATGACCTGAACTAACAACCCCAAATGATACTACTCTACTGTACTTCTATACATCTCACTTGAACAAACCATCTCTAAAACATTTCTTTAGTTAAAATTTACCTTAAGAATGTTACCAAAACATGAATAAGTGATCTTGTATAAGAAATGTTACCTCCCCTGTCATAATAGAGACAAAAACTAGGAGTTGTATTTTGAATGACATGTAAGCTAGCAGGTCTGTGACCACAACACCAGCTTTGGCAGCCACCTAGAGATTATAGCTCTCCTCATTAGGGATTCATGAAATCTTCTCGCTAATTGTCAAAGAGATGTTTAGCTTTCAACTAGCAACATGTGAACAAGTCTATACAATGTGTGCAGTGCCAATGTCAGCAGAGGACGTGCTGGAGGAGGAGGAGGAAGAGAGTGATGAGGACTGCTACCAGGATGAGTACTACAACATGGCAGAAGACGGGGAGAGCCTCCCTGCAGAACCTGATCCGGAGGACCCAGAGGTGTCTCGCTACGAGAGTCTCACAGTCGCCCAGGCCCAGGACTTCATGGAGGAGAGTGT